CAAACATCTCTAATACCAGGGGATTTTCAATGTGTTTAAAACCAAAACATTCTTTTGCTTTGCAGGTAGCACCATATCGAAATTCCACAGCATCAGCTGTTCTGATTTTACTCCTGTGCAAGTACATATACATAGACATGCAGACTACATACAAAAAATCAGAATAGCTCTTGAAACAAGATAAAGTCTAGTTATTTACCCCTTAGTAAACATGCCTCTGGCTTCAGCACTTGTTAATAAAACTCTTGCTTAAGAAGAAAACAGAAGCCTATAATTGTCTGGGGCCATTCAACACCCCAAAATCCCAGATCCCATCTCAGTTTTCCCCATTCACTGTCTTGGGTTGCTTTAATTAAGTAAATTATGCTTTCAAGTCACCTGCTGTTATCTTTGGGAGAAATATAAGCAACTACAATACCAGCTCTCTGATCTGTGTTGTTCACTGATTTAAACGTGTTCTTCCCCTTCTCATGTCCTTCGTTCCTGAATTCTGCAGGAGAAGGGACATCAGCAGCGCAGCCCCCCCAGACACCCCTTGTGCTGGGGCTGGCTCCCAGCACCCACACTTGCTGCTGCCGCGTTCACAACCATAACCATCACATCATATTCACCTTCCGTTGCTGACTCATGCATACCTCCCAATCCTGATTTCCCTACGTTTGGGTAGTTTACATATGACTCTGCTTCATGAGATGCCCTTTTGTCATCTCCCCGCACCCTCCTCGCGCATCCTCCACATCTTGTGTATCTCAACGCAGGGCTGTGAGAGCCAGCACTGCACCTACCATCCAAACCAGATTTACATTTCTCTCCACCTCAGCTGTTCTTCCTTAATAACTCTGCATGGCAGTTTTGGGCATGACAACAAAAGAAAAACGAAAGTGTACATGTTATAAGAGTTGTGTTGTTAGCAGAAATGATTTCAGTTTGTAATGTAGCTGACATTTGTGAAGGTGCTCAGGCATCGAGACATTTACGATTATGTAAGCTTAAACAGATAAATTTAGATCTTGGCATTTATAATCTTTCCTAGTAAAGTGATGATATTGTTTAATCAAGAGGTCAAAATGAATTTAAAGTTGTCCCTTTTTCTTCTCTTTGCCCCTTCTTAATAATTCAGCACAGAGCCAGTAGGTAATACATTGTAAAAGATGGATGGAAAACTAGATATTCATGTGGAATATATTCTTCATGAAAGGTAGGTGAGAAATTAAGATTAAAAATGCTCTTGTCTTCAGCAGAAACAAGACTAATCTTTTCATTTTTAACTTACCTTGTATTTATGTGACATCAGCTTACAGACAGTAAAGGAAATTGCACCATTCCCTTAAAAGCAGCGTTAGCAAGTTCTGACAGCTTGTTAAAAGCCATGACTGAAGACAGGGTGATGCACATCGATCACCTGTGACAAGGACCTCATGGAGCCTGGCCTGGGCTTACCCTTGGTCATGTCTCAGAGGTGGGTCATGTGGCTCTTAGTGGGCCATTCCACATTTCTGGGTACACGTTCCTTAAGCTGCCCAAGCGATTTAAATGCTGGCCACTCATTAAAAAGAAACACAATTATGTCCTACGACTCTATGTCCTCCCACAGTTCAAGCCTGACTTCATGTGTAACATGGATTTTCCAGCACTTACAGTCCAATTTCTTGCCAGATAATGGAAGCAAATTACCCAAAGCACTGGAGTCAGCAGAAGATACAGTCCATAGGAGTGAAATCACAAGATCATATTCCATCGTTGGGATGCTATAGCATGAAATACGGCATTGAACACTAACTGAGTCTGAGAGATTTGGATTTCTAAGTAGAATTACCATCCATGATCGTAGACCAAGATTTACATTTGATTAATATACCTAAAATACCCTTCGCATACACGGCACATTGTGGAATTATATACCTCTGGAGATTACCTGGACCAACATCCTGCT